CCTGTAGTCCCAGCTACTGGGGAGGCTGAGGCAAGAGAATTGCCTAAGCCCAGGAGCTGGAGGTTGCTGTGAGCTGTGTGACGCCACGGCACTCTAACAAAGGCTACAAAGTTGAGACTCTGTCTCTAAAATAAATAAATAAATAAAAATAAAGACCCTTGCATAGATAACAGAGAACACACATTCTAGGGCTGTGGTAGGACTCTTGTGTGGATGAGGGGGTGCTGGGTATGGCGGGTTGGGGGGGATGCAGGATTGGATACTCCAGGACGTAAAGAGTGGGTTTGAGCAGAGTCCAGTGGGTTCAACACAGAGTATTATCCAAAGCTCTTTCCTCTTTAGCCATCCAAGTCACTGTGCCTCTTCAAGAAAAGAGCAGAACCTTGAGGTGGAAGAGGTGAGAAGCTGCAATCTCTTAAAAACCTAAAAACTAAAAAAGCTTCAAACATTTGGAGAGAGAACTGTACTCAAGAAACCAACATTCTATAGCAGGCATATTAGCTGCAATAAAGCAAAACAAAATTTTAAGCATTCCGTTGAAACTGAAGAAGAGAAACCCTGAAAAACTTTGAATGAGCTAAGGGTGATAATGGAAGGTAATTTCAGAAATATAAAACACCATTGATAAGTCTTTCTGTGTTTTGTCTTCATCCTCTTAGTGATTATAACTAAGTGTTTTCATATTTATTTCCTGCTCTCCAGTTCCCTATTGTTCATTGAAAGTCTCAAACTCCATAATAATAGCAATGATGGTACAAATAGTTAACTTTTTTGAAAGTGGCTGAGGTGCTTTACATTAATTTACATAGCAAGAGCCCAGCTTTACAAAAAAATAAAAAAAATTAGCCAGGTGTGGTGAAGCATGCCAGTACTCTTAGCTACTGAGAAGGCTAAGGCAGGAGAACTCCCTGAGCCCAGGAGTTTCAGAGTGCCATGAGCTAGGACTGGGCCACCGCACTCCAGTCTCGAAGAAAAAAAACAACTAACATGGAGACTTCTCAGTTAAGTTCAGTTCTTTCCCCCTTCCAGAAGCTCTGGTCCTCTTTACTTCTTCTGTATTCCTTTCTAACTGCTAATAAAAGTCCTAAACAAAAAACTATTACATCACCAAAACAAATATATGAGGAAGAAACTTGAGTATCTCTGTTTCAGGACACGCAGTTGAACTTTAGAAAATGTAACTGACCAACAGTAACTGAATAAAAGAGGGAAATCCATTCCCTTATACATTGTTTTATTGCTGCAAATATAAAGTTTTCTTTTGTGGAAGTTTCCCTGTGACTAGGAAGAAAGTATGTCTCAAAATGGCCCT